CAAAACATCATAAAGTGAACAACGGGTTTCACATGAGATATTTGCCTGGTATCATTATTTTACCTTTTTCAGAATGTCATCAACAAGCTTCAGAAATATCTCATCCACGTTGAAGTTGTCCTTGGCACTCGCTTCACAGAACCGCATCCCGGTTATCTGCTGTGCAAACTAAGAACACAGATTCATGTTTTCTGTGGGGGTGCCACCGGTGGAGCAGGTGGCCAGGGGGCCTGTGACTGAGGGAATCACAGCATTTGGGCTCCTGCTTGAAGGGAGGGGTGGGCCAGGTTTGCAAAGCCCCACGTAAGCTCAAACACAGAGTTTGTGTGTGCAGCAAACCCCTACGTGGTAAGTAGGCAGGTGGGCAAACCATGGCATGGTAAGTAACAACACAAAAGAAAATCCCAGAGGTGATGTGCAGAGGGGAAGTTCAAGTTTCCAAAATTGTAATGCATCTGACATTTACAACGTGAATATCACAGATTCTCCAAGGAAGGTTAAAATACCCCAGAGCAAATCATGGAAGCAATTTTACGGCTTAAAAAACATTTCTCTGTAGGGAATTTCAGGTTAGAGAATGCAATATATACTGATATACTAATGTTCCCCCACTCTGTTTCGAAATGCTTAAAACTTCCTGCTCTTTTAAATCTAAACAAATGAGAAGGATGTGACTCTATAATTATTTCCTAATTTAAAAAATTTACTTAAAAAAGTCTCGCAATGGCGGACTGCACAGCGTGTGGACAGTGACATCCCTTCTGCTCCCCATTTCTCTCACCTTTTCACCTTGCTGCCTGGTGATTTCTCGGTCAGTTTCACAGTCCAACTTATTTCCAACTAAGAGAAGTTCTGCATCTTCTGAAGCATACTGTGGAATTTTAAAAGAAGCTGCATTTCAAAGGTGGGCACTGTCATATCCGGACAGGAAACGTAAACCACTCTGTTGCTTTGCGTTCATTGTGTGTTCATCCACTCCGCACATCTCAGCATTGGCCCTATCCCAGGCAGGACCGAATCAGGTGGGGTCTGAGACAGTCCTCACAGGGCTCAGGGCTTTAGAGAGCGATGCGGTAACAAGCTTTATGAACCCACAACATTCTGGGCCTTTCACCAATAATTTCTAAAAATCTATTCTAAATGGTCTAAAAGGGAATATAAATAGTAATATTCTATCCTGAAGAAGAACAGCAACATTGATGGACTTATGCTACCTGATTTCAAGACTAGCTATAAATGTACAGTAATTAAGACAACATGGTATTAGCATAGGAATAAACAAACAGATCAATGGAACAGAATAGGGTCCAGAAATAGATACAAACATATATGTCAATTGTTTTCAACAAAGGCACTAAATAATTCAAAGAAGAAAGGGGAGTCTTTTAACAAATGGTGCTAATAAAACTGAGTATCTATAAAAAAAAAAAAAAAATCTATTCTAAGCAAATGAATTACATCACAGGCAAAGCCCTATACTTAAAATGGTCATCAAATGAAGAAAGTCCAACAAAATAGATGGAGAATGAAGTTAAGGTACCTAAAAAGAATGCAGCCATTAAAAAAAAAAAACCCCAACCACCCATGCTTTGGAAGAACATTCATATGACACAGGAAGGCTGGCATGCAGAACATTCAGTGAAGCAGGCAGGCTCTGAAACCACATGGAATATGGATTGAATTTGGTTCTTCAGAACAGCAAAAGTATACATTTTGAAATTCACTTTTGTGCTTGACTTTCCAAATTTTCTATCATGACAAAATATTATTAATCTTATAGTCAGGAAAAAAGTTAAGCTACATTTCTAAGTTAAAAAAAATACAGCCACAGTAGGATCTCTCCTCAAAAAGCCTGAACTCTCTTGAGTAACTCATTTAATTTTGTGTATTCTAAACAATGACTTGAGACAGGCTGCAGCAAAAGGCACCTGAATGGTGTGACCTTGGCCAAGTTACTCAAGGGTCTCAGTCTCCTTCTCTGTGTGGAGTATGGTAGCAGAACAGCACCCACCTGATGAGGCTGCTGCAGAGCAAGCATGGGAAGTACAAGAAACGAGAGCACTTATTCACAAAAAGGTAAAAAGCAAAAGTATAAAAGGGGGGAGAGCGTTAGATCTCAAGACCTCAGGAGATCCACAAAGTGAGCACCTCACGGGGCCCTGAGGCTTAAGGCCATGGCTTTTTGGTCTACAGGATTAATACAGGTTCTCACAGGAAAACACAACACTTACCTTATCAATCATCTTCATCCATTTTGGCAAATCATCAAAAGTCTCCTTCTTAGTGATATCATATACTAGTATGATCCCCTTGGCACTTCTGTAATAAGCTGAGGTAATGCTGTTGAATCTCTCCTGACCTGCTGTGTCCCTATGAAACAGCAGGAACAATCAGCATCCAAACAGTAACCAGAGGGAGCAACTCCACCTTCCAACACGGGAGAGGAATGGAGGCCCCACCCGGCCCCCTGCAGGCTTGCTTCTAGTCCCGTCCATGCATATGCATCAGTATTAGTGGGGGTGGGGGGGAGAGGTAGTTTTTCTGCGTTACTTTCAGACAAAAACAGTCCCAATTTCTCTCAAACCAAGATTTTGAAAATAAGAAAACCATGTGTAAAATGATGGAATGTGTAAAATCCTGTGCAAACTTTTTTTTTTTTTTTTTAGAAAATAATCTCTATGCCTCATGTGGGGCTTGAACTCACAACCCTGAGATCAAGAGTTGCATGTTCTACCAACTGAGCCAGCCAGGCACGCTTGCTACGAACTCTTTTAACCAACATCAATGGTTACATCTGATTTTGTTGAGAAGATGACCAAGAGTTGCTCACTAATGAAAAGTACTGTAAAACCAGTCTTATTTTCTTAATCCTTCTAAAATAGAAAAGGGGTTAAAGGGGGCAGGGAGAAGATACCAAATAGGTTCCAAATGCGGTAAAGTTCATTATTGTCTGACTGCTACTTTAAAAGCCAGAAGTTGGGGGTGCCTGGGTGGCTCAGATGGTTAAGCGTCTGACTTCGGCTTGGGTCATGATCCCAGGGTCCTGGGATCAAGCCCCACATAGGGCTCCTGGCTCAGCGGGGAGCCTGCTTCTCCCTCTCCACCTGCTCATGCTCTTTCTCTCCGTATCTGTCTCAAATGAATAAATAAAACCTTAAAAAAAAAAAAACACAAAAAAACGCAAGTTGTATTTATTCTCCAGGCTGAAGTCAATCATTTCAACATGACGAACGATGTAAGCTTACTGTACTGTACAGCAGCTGAGACATTTTCTGTACAGCAGCTGAGACATTTTCTCCATCTAATAAGCGAAGAAACTGGGGAAAACCATCATGTATTTATGAATGAGCTCAACGGAGCGGGCCTTCTGATCTGGAGACAAATTTCTCTAATGTAATTTAGCTCTTCCCAAAGAACCTAAACTCACAGCATACCCCCAAGGGCCACGTGAGACAGGTGGGTCCTGCAGTAACATTGCCAAGAGGCAATGCAGCCAAAATAGGGTTCTTCACTGCAAGGCCATTCAAGGCCTCCCCAAATGAGAGCACGTGGGTTTCCGAGAGGTGGAGAGAACACGCAGCTCTTCCCAAATGCATCTGATCAAAGACTACTTCCCTTGAGGTGCACTTTGTGGGGCAGTATCCCTAAAATGCCCTTCCCTTTGGCAATGGTGTTGTAATTTACAGCTTCATTTAGATTGGTCTTGCCACCAAAATAGTTCACATTAGCGATGGCATTGTTATGCCAAATAAACAGAAAAGCTTACTGGCAAATTCATTTTCACATACAGCAAAGCCATTTGCTTTGTTCCAGAGGATATAAGAATGCCTTGAGGCTTCTGACTGTAAGGCCCAAGAGGGCCGAGGCTGGTCTGTTTCTGTCCACCAGGGTCCAGCAGGGTGCCTGGCTCATAGCAGGCTGTCAATAAGCAGGTGCTGAACAGAAGTTTACATGTTTAAAATGTGGGAGTGGATGCCAGTTCAAGGCAAAATAAACTTTATTTTTTGACCTAGAAATGCCAAAAAACTGGAAAATGGAATAGGATAGATGGGGACTGAATTCTTCAAGATTCTTAAAAAAACCTTAAACACCACACTAATGGGCACTGCACCTTCAAGGTTAGTGAGAAGGAACAGATTCAGATACCATTTACACAAGGAATCAATGAATAAAATTATTTCTGGAATCCTAGGCATACAGGGGTATAATTAATCCTTTTTTTTTTGAGGGGGGAGGGGCAGAGGGAGAGGGAGATAGAGAATCATAAGCAGGTTCCACGTCCAGCACGCGGAGCTTGACGCTGGGCTCGATCCCAGGACCCTGAGATCATGACCTGAGCCAAAATCGAGTCGGACGCTTAACTGACTAAGCCACCCAGGCGCCCCTACAATTAATACTTTTGAATCAACAAAGAGTTAAATCTTTCAGAGCATGGTTTCCCAGTCTATCACAAGTTATGGCTTGATTGAATTAGGATCTGATCAAATATTTTTAATGTTTTAAAAAATATGCTGTGCTGTTTGGATACTGTTAAGAAACAATACCTCATATCTTTAAAAAGTAAAAAAAAACTACATCTTTTTCTACTGTGAGCACAATCTTTAACAATTTAATAGAATAAGTTTTTCTAAGTAACTTTAATCTGGCTATTTAGTGTAACTCAACTGACAATTTCTGCACACATTCAAAGAATTAGAATCTAGACACTGGGGGCTCAAAAACAGTGAAATTAGAGGTTAACGGTTTTTTAGTTAATTTAGAGATTTTATTTATTTGAGAGAGAGAGAAACAGCATGAGAGGGGAGAGGGTCAGAGGAAGAAGTAGGCTCCCTGATGAGCAGGGAGCCCGATGCGGGACTTGATCCCAAGACTCTGGGATCATGACCTGAGCTGAAGGCAGCCACTTAACCGACTGAGCCACCCAGGTGCCCCTAATTTTAAATGCTTTTATTTATTGTGGTAAGAAGACCTGACATGAAACCTACTCTTTTTTAACAGAGTTTTGGGTGTAAAATAATGTTATGTATAGGCACAATGTTGTACAGATTTCTAGAATAAAAAATAAATAAAAAAGCCAACAGTTGAAGAACAGGGAGAATAAAGGGCATTTCTCATAAAGCTAAAAACACCTGTTACCTAGGTGGCACAGTCAGGAATCTTAAAAACATTAAGAAATTAACTGTCTCTGTTGGCTTTCATTCAGACACAGAGAAGACAGACCTCAAGATGCAAAATCTGAGGCAATCATTCTAATACAAATAAACGAGCCAGCAGGTTCAGTTTACAAAAACCCCAATGAGGAAACATTAATCAATTTGCCACTCCTATTTAAGGTCATTCCTTAAATTCCATCTTTTTGTGTCTGGCTCTGAATGCTTGAGGTAGAAAAACATCTTCCTTTGAGAGACTATTCTCTATTTCTATTCCTCTGGAGCTCCTTTGCGTGACTTATTTCCCCTACTAAATTATCTGCCACCACATACGGTCCAAGAAAAGGGAAATGAAATGCAGACACAGTTCAGTGAGTATTTATTACAGATTTCCTATGCACCAGTACCGTAAAAGTCCCACCCAAGTTCCTACTTCTCAAAAATTAGCTGCTAAGAAGACACCAATGCACTGATTATGCTTCTATCTTTCTGTGAAGATGCAGAATCCTAATATTTCCTCTATCTCCATAAACCCGAGTTTTCACTGTCGTGATAAAGAGCTGATTTCTCGAGATTTGCAGTGTATTAATGTCAGCTAAATTGTCACTTGCTGCAGCTGGTGATTGTTTATGAGGTGATTATTTCTCTGCTTTTTGGTGCAAATTGAAAAATTCCTGCAATTCTGTTTCCCCAGTTTCGTAGTAAGACCGTGCTTTGAAAATTCAAAGATTCTTACTTGTATTTAATATATCCACTTAAAGATATAATTATTAATTTGCAGGGCAGGAGCCAATTTCTGTATATGAAATGTCCCACTTCTTCCAAGCAGAGAATGAAAAATGAGCCCGATGTCGACATAAGAATGCTGCCTAAGACCAAATCCCCCCATAGGGAAGACTGGCATGGTGGACGGGACGAAGGGGTCCCTATATGATGCATGTTAATTCCCCAGGATAGCATCTGAATGTCAATTCATGAAGCTATATTCTAGCTGACACACTTTATTTTAGCTACACTTACATAAAGGTCTTATACACATACACGAAGAAACACTTTTAAGTACAGAGATGAGAAAATGGTCCTTTTTTCTGACCACAGATAATCAAGGGACTGAAAAATGTGGCAATGATGTAAAATGTAGCAAAAAAAGTGTGATAATGCCATCTGGAGCTTTTGGTACCTTAAACTTTTTGGAACCTCTGGTTAGTATTTCCTCAGATTAGCTATATACAGAAATCATCAAGAAAAAAAATGCATTTCTTCTAATCAGATCTCTGTGAAAACTACCTGGGAATGTCCATGGACTAACATTCTAGAAAATCAAGAGCACAGCTATTCTTAGCAGAGCAAGGCTACTGAGGTTCTTTGAAGAGCCCTCTCCAACTATACTGGCTCTTTCTGGGCCCTCAACTGTGACAGCAAAGTGGTGACAGCATGCTTGCAACAAAGCAGACTACGACAGCAACAGCACGAGCACAGCTTCTAACTCTGAAATGAGTCGTGTATTACTTTAAGTAGTGAGCCTCGACTCCCATACTTCCTTTCTATCTACTGCATAACAATAATGAAGGAAATGTTTAACCCTCTACACAAAACACTTCAGATGACAACAATCTTACTTTGGACTATTGTGTGATTAACAAGTTGTGGGCATTTTGTGGATGTGTTCTCCACTGCTGAAAACCTCTTTGGGAAAACTTAAGTCCTCCTTCCTCACTGAATCACTGCGATGTTTCCGGTGGAAAACCTGTAATCAACCTTTCAATAAAGTCATTGATTCTTGTTTTCTTTCCTCAGTTGTATTCTTCGGAACAGTCAAGGAGAAGCAGAGGAGTTACGCTGGGGAATGCATTTACATCCAAGAGAAATGTGGTTTTGGAGTGTCCTGTGCACCAGCATACTTTTCCCCACAGGGTGGGACTCACAGGGGAGGCCCTCTCAGATAGACTCAAAGGCACTGTCCTGAGATTCCAGAAGTATCCAATGTCACCGGCACAGACAGCCTTCGTGGGCTGAGTTCCAGGGAGCCACAGGACTTCTGGACATACTTTTTTTTTTTTTTAAAGATTTTATTTATTTATTTGACAGAGAGATAGAGAGAGAGAACAAGTATGCAAAGAGGCAGGCAGAGGGAGAGGGAGAAGCAGGTTCCCCGCTGAGCAGGGAGCCCGATGCGGGGCTTGATCCCAGGACCCTGGGATCATGACCCGAGCCGAAGGCAGCCGCTTAACCGACTGAGCCACCCAGGCGCCCCTGGACATACTTTTTATAGGTCCAGTTACTACTGCCTGAGATGAAAACTGAAGTATGAATACAGTAACTAAGGTATGTCCGCTTAGCCAGGCTATGATGTCATCACCTAGACACTGCTGTCATTCACTAAGCAAGCTCCACAGACAGTCTAATAATTCGCTCGATCACCCTCTGTTCAGTAATCCCCTTCAAAAAGGATCTCGCCCACAGGCACTAGGTAGAGGTGAACAACCCCCATGATCCTTTTAAAGATGGTCTTTACTTTAGAGAGCTTACAATCAGAAACAACAGCTCATGTGAAAGATATTTTTTTTTTTTAGATTTTATTTATTTATTTGACAGAGACACAGTGAGAGAGGGAACACAAGCGGGGGGGAGTGGGAGAGGGAGAAGCAGGCTTCCCGCCAAGCAGGGAGCCCGATGTGGGGCTCCATCCCAGGACCCTGGGATCATGACCTGAGCTGAAGGCAGTCGCTTAACCAACTGAGCCACCCAGGCACCCCTGAAAGATACTCTCTTGTCACTTCCAGAGTTCAAAAAATGGGCGGTAACGTACCAAAGTTTGTGGACTTTCCAAAAAAAGCGCTAATAAAATAAAAAAATACCCATTTTTTGGTCAGTAAGTATTTAGACAAGACTGTTTGTTTCATAATCAAATCAAAAGCCAAAACCCCCAAACCCTCAAACCGTCTTTACAGTGGGTTATATAGCGGCAGGTGACCAAACAAAGACATTACCTCAGACACCTCCGGGAAGCAGCAATGCTGGCTCGCTGCAGCCGTGCCCACACAGGGGCGAGGGTGAAGAATGAAGGCATGCCACTAACATTCAAGCATTAGGTGACCGATGATGCCACAGATGAGGAGCAAGTAACGCAGATGAAAGCAAACACACACATGGTGGACACACACTCAGAGCTGAGGTGGACCTGCAGAGGAGTTAGTAGGCTGAGTACACGGCAGCTGTGATGTTACCAACAAAAGGGCATTCTCGGAGCCCCTCAGCGGTGCCACGCTGAAGCCACCACCAGATCGGCTCCGCACCCCGCAGGTGGGTTTCCTAGGGCCGCCTGCAGGCTGCTGGGAACCCACGGAAAGCTCCTCGTGCCAGATAGCTACGACACGGCTGGTTTAGTTGCTCATTCGTGATGATGTGAGAACGGGGCTTCTCTTCAGATAGCGGCTCTGGATTCATTCCCAGTTGGCACAGGTGGGGCTCACGTCACGCAGCATGAGCCACGTGGCCAGCGGGAGCATGCGCATCCCACCGCGGTGCTCACGCCATGCCACCCCGGGCAACCCGCAAACTGGCTGTGGGTGCTCTGCCTCGAAACTGCGTAGATCTGGTCGGGAACGTGCTGCACTTTTTTTTGCATACTATCAAACAAAATCACTTTAAAAACGTGAAGACAAGCATTTGAGCAATCATCTTAGTGATAACAATTTGGCTATTATGTCAAACGATTGGAAAAATGGCAACAAGGCTCCAAATTAGCTATTATTAAAGTAACATTCTTCTTTCACCACTCCCCATGTACAAATGGAGAATGAAATAAGTAGACTTTTCTAAATTTTCTCACTGTTCATTTTATTTAAAGATGAGCAAAGGAGAGGAAAAGTAGGAGAGGCAAGCCAGCTTGGACAGTTAATTTTATTAGACAGGCGTACAGACTGTGAACACACACGGCGGTTACTGGGGGCAGATCCCCCACTTACCAGATCTGTAATCTGATTTTCTTTCCTCTTAGCTCTACAGTTTTGATTTTAAAGTCAACACCTGCAAATAAAACAAATGAAAGTGAAGCAAAAAATAAAGATGCATTTTGCCACAAAGAAGAATCCTACTTGTACATTTTGTATCATTATCAGAAAAACAAAAAACCTGATGTCACTAAATCCCAAAAGGAAAAGCAGTCCACCAATGCCTGTGACGCTCAGTCTACACTTCCATAAAGAACTGTACGAAGTCAACCTATGTGATGTTTTACCCCAAACTACCTATGTAGCATTTGCTAAATGTAATATGATTTATTACTACAAGTTCAGCATAAAAGCCATTTAAAAATTGCATTTGGTAATTACATTAACAACTGAATGGTTTTAAAAGAATGATATACTGGGGAAAATTCTTATGGGAAATGCTGGAAACAATCTTGATTTCAAATAGCCTTAGTCTGAATTTAGAAATTATTGTATTGAATTCTGCAGCATTCACAAAAAATTTAGTTAATATATAAACATGACTTCTTTATTACATTGTCAATAGCGTGCAACAGAAATTATTTTTAAAAAACTTATACAGGCTAACATATCCAATTTTAATTTTTATTCATCTTAACACTGAGCAAAACCATCATGTATCACTCACTGTCCTTTTCTAATTAAGCCCTTAAAGCTTCAGGTAATTTTTTAACCCAAATTTTCAGTTGTATATGTTACCTGATACGGGTCTCAGTTATAGAAAACTTGTAGATTTCAAAACAATGTGTTTTACACCATTTTCGCAACTAAGAAAAACAAACCAAAGGAATGCCAACTGAATTTGAGAGAAACATTCCCTACGGGAACCACTTCCTGCCTGCTTCTTAGGATCCAGGGTCGCCATGCTGAAAGGCCTCTACCCGGCAGGGGCCCGCGTGTGCCAGTGAGTGCTCTGCAGCTGCACAGCGGGTAAGGACCCCCTCCCAGGCTCTCCATCTCAGACATCTGATGCAGCACCGCGAAGTCAGATGATGTTCTTGAGGTGACGCGAAAGACATGTGACTGACTTTTATAATTAGTAACGCACTGCAGACACCAATGCAATACAGAAAGACATGTTTACAACCCAGGGGCGGGGGGCTGGAGGAGACCAGCTCTTGGTCTGTACAATAAAGAGAAATTGCAGGAATATAAACTGTCACAAGAGAACAAAGCTAGGGAATACTGGACGTTTTAATTCTTAATTTCTTACACCAGCCATAATTTCAAATGTCACTGAGCGAAAGCTGGTTAGTTCCATTTCACTTTCAGTTCTGGAACCGATCTGCTCTTCAAACTCAAATGACACTCTAAACCAGCCTTGAAACAGGAAGCATGTTTGTGGACTACCAATATCCCCAGAGTTCCTGAATGACTCAACCACAGGGAAGAACATAATTTAAAGTGATATTCTACAAGGCACAAAGAACAGCCTGGAGACATTTGTTATGTTCTGATTTTAAAAAGGCACAGCTTAAAAAGACAGAACACCCATTCTCCTGATACTAGCTACAGTTAGGGCCTTACCGTGTTCCTCTGTGATGGCAAACTACAAATCAAATTCATATTTTTGCCTTGACCACTATTCTATTTTGTTTCCAGTTACTTTGAGGTTTTGTTTTGTTTTGAAGTTTCAGCTAAGGGGGCTGTAACTTTTGTGAAACTCGTCATGGCAGCTGCTACTTTATTAAGTAGATGCTACTTTATTAAGTAGGCAGATGATACCTCTTTTGTGAGCTCTGCTTCAGGTCTACTAAAAGAATCCCCTGAAACAGCCAGTGCCAGCAATTTTTGTTTTGATTAGGCTGTTTTCTCTCAAGAATTATTCTGAGCCTGAATATGTCACTCTTTTTCAACCTACTTGAACAACTTATGCAACTTTTACAAACAATCCTTGTAACCACAAAGTCTAATGAACAAAAGTAAAAGCTAAAGGTGTTGGTGTTCAAAATAAGGAAATAAATGGTAATGTTATCACCATGTGACGGTAAATACATTACTAATTTAATAGGAAAACAAAACAAAGATGAACCGACAGTGACTGTCTAATTTTAGTGAGATTAATGACAATTTCACCAACAACAGAAAAATAGCCAGTGGCTAAATCTAAAACCCCATAAAGAAAAGAGCCCATTAAAATAGCCCTCTCTCTTGAACTCAGTATCCTTTACCACATTTAACCACCACTCAGTAGCTTGTAACAACTGGAAACTTACTCCAATTTATGGCTTGTATCAAAGTATACAACTAAATGTTTCTAAAAACCTTCTTACATGAAGTAAAAAATCTCTCAATGTTGTCTATTTTAAGAATTTGCACATCATAAAAGTGTTAATGATCCTTCATAGAGAAGGTAGTAAGTCCTCAATAGCCTCAAATATTCAGTGGATTCATAAAGTTAGCACAGAGTTGGCCCTGAGAAGGAGCTGCTGGGACCAATGTTTATGAACAGGTAAGGGGCAAAAAGAGTGGCATCTCCATCTCTGGCCCTTGTTGAAAACCCAGTTTCCTACAGGTAACCTGACGACCAGGGGAAGCAGTCAGCCCCACCATCAGTTGATGGGGACAGTCTCTGCCCTCAAAGGCCTTAGTCATACTGACCTAAATCAACAGCCCATGCAGTTGGTGAAGAAGTGCCTTTCTTTGCTGTTCCTCTCTTCTTAGAGAACCTCCTTGTCTGTCCGGAAACCTTTTACGTCCCAGGTGATTCCCCATCTGAACCCTTCTACCTGCCCCACAGTCCTATCTGTGCACTCTGTTCTTGGACCTGAACTCTCTCCTATCCCTTCTCACATCATTCCTTCTTTGTTGTGTGGTGCCTCCCTGAGGACACAGTCATCTCTGACTCCCTGCAGCCTAGGACACTGCCTGGCACACAACAGCAACTTGATAAATATCATCAATGAAAGCCACATTCTCTTCACCAGATGCTGGACACATAAGGAGAAATGCTGACTCTTTTTGGAAAAATTAAGGAAATTCAGGACTGATTAGTAAAAACAAAACAAGACAACAAAACTCACACAAAACATCTTAGTAGGAAGGAAAAGCAGATGTTCTGAGTGTCTGGTGCCCAGCACACACACAGCTACCCTAGAAACAGAGTATTTCATTTCTCCTACAATTCCAATTGTTGATGGTAAATCGTTAAAGGATGGGGCAGTCCTAATATGCTCATACCCTCTCCCCCTATGCACTCATCCCAGGAGATTATTATGGTAATAGTTGATTCAGTCACTTAGATGGGAAGTGGTCCACTAAGTGAATTATTCTTGCAGTAGGAGCTTACCTTTCTTTAAGGCTTACTAATGCTACAAAAGTCTTTCTAAAAATATTTTATTCAGAAAGGACACAATTCACAGGGCTATAATTCCTGTATCAACAGGCACAGATGGTTCTATTTGAGTCACCATGTCTTCTTCATCTTACTTTTCTTTAATAACAATGATAGTGGGCATCTGTCAAACCCTCTCTGCTGACATGGGATCCTGTAGCGGCCCAATGAAGTGGGCACTATTATCCTCATTTTACAGAGGGAGACACCAGGGTGGAGAGAGGGCAAGGGGATCTGCTTTAAAGTCATCTCACATGCTAGCTGAGTGGCAGGACCTAGAGTCAAATTTATAACACCGCCCACAATGGAAACTTGTTATAATAAAAGTCATATGCATGGAATAAAAGGCAAGGTATGAAATGTTCTGTAAATGGCCCAGAACCACCCTAATTGAGCTGTTAAAGAACAAAGCTTAACTTTGCACTTGGCCTTCTTTGTATCTGTCTTTCGTAAGTCTTAGCAATAGCATAAAGAACTGGCATACTTAGTGCTGGTAAGATTCCGAAGTTCCCCTTAAGGCAAAACATTTCTAAAACATTGCCCTATTTCTTTCTGCCGGGCCATAAGAAGCTACAAAAATGAAAATGCAAAAATAAACAGAAGCTTCTTTCTTCACATTCCAGCAAAAAGCTAAACAAATAAAAGCAAAAATAACACCATGATCCACACTTACAATGACAGCTGAATGGACTTCTCCCCTTTTATTTCTTTGCCCACGTCCCCCCCCCCCACACCCCCAAGATCTGATTTTATATTACTTAACACTTTTAGGAGGTTGAAAGATTTCACAGACTTTGAAATTAAATTTGTCTCCATTCAAACAGTGGTTGTGATGTTACTTCCACTTTTAAAATAACTATAAGTTTATACAGTGGCTTTTCTTCCAAGGGTACAGATTTTATATAGCGTCATCCAATTTTGGACATGATATTTCTACTAAGGGAGAGATTTCCGGCGTTTTCATGGAGTTGAGAGTGAGAAAATAAATTAAGAAAGGCGTCAAAGTCACATAGAGAGAGGTAAATTTAACATCGGAAAACAAGTCACCCAACCATGGAGCCAGTCTTCTGTCCAAATGCCACCTACCAGAGGAGAGTACAACGTTAAGTCCCCACAGGAAAGCACCACGTAAAGAAAAGGATTCAACACAATAGAAACCAAGTGCTATGACTGTAAAATATTCGGCAGTAAGTACTATTATTAAAATAGTAAAATGATGGTATGACATTAAAAATGCTCATCAGGCCCGAGGACATGAAGTCTCTATCCTATCAGTAAGACCTGCCTCTTTCATGCCAAGCTGGACATGCCTCCACTCCAGCAAATAAAGGTCGGCCAGGGTCTCCCCGTCCCTGATACACGCGGCACAAAGAGGGAGCCTCGCACTTCACTGGACAAACGCAGGACTACCACGAACTGCATGAGGCAGGGAGGATCTGAGGTGATCGACTTCAAAGGAGAAACAGGGAAGGAAGTGAGTGTGCGTGCCCTACAGAGCCTGTCAGAATGGGCAGGTGGCTGCATTTTCACAAAGTATATACCCTTAGGAAAGACTTTCACACGAAGGGGTCTGTTCCCTTCCTAACAGAAAGATTAAGAACTCTTTTATGCTGTTTACTGTGCTTCGGTACTATTC